GTTAAAAAATAAAAATACTCAAAGTAAATGGATTCTACTGTCATTTATAGCTAAAACTAACCAATTAAAAAGAATTTATACATACAAAAATTCTAAGGCAGTATTGCAGAAAAGGTGTTGGTGCAATAAGAGTAGTGGTGATGGTCATGATATAGTGTACTGGAATGTCCCTTCCTCTCCTTGATGCAACTTCAGGTCCCAGTTCAAATAGCATTATGATGAAACCTGATTATATATAACATTCACCAGGGCTCAGTATATTTTCTATATTTTGTTTCCTTCTCACAGTAGGTTTTGGGCATTTGACAGCTGAGGAAATGAGACAAGGAATAATTTCCCCTCAGATTACAAGTTTAGGAATCAGTGGAGAAGAACTAGAATCTAGTTTAGTTTTGTTTCTAATATCTGTCTTTTTAATAAAAGATGAATACTTATATATGATAAAAATTCAAAGACTCCTTCCTTCTGGAGGCAGAGGTTAATTCTTCTTTCTTGCATGTAGGTTGGGCCAAAAAAACTCATTTCTAAAGTATAGAGTATGAAAAGGGGAAAAGGATTAACTTTACAATAGAGAAATCTGAGAGATATCATCTTAATCAGGGATTAAGGTTAATATGACTAGTGACATGTGGTGTTGGTACAATACACAACTTAGCATGACATGATGAGATGGGACCTCACATTCACAAAATTACTACCCCTTTATCCCTTAACACCAAACAACAGCAAAAAAAAAAAAACCAAACAAACAAACAAAAAAACTACAATCTAATCACTAAAAACCTACAGACTGTTTTGAGAGACATTCTATGAAATACCCAATAGCACTCAGGTCAAAAAATTAACAGAATTCTAAGTAAATTTTACAGATTGGAGAAAAGTAAGAATATGTGATAACTGAATGCACTGTACTCTCCTGGATACAATCTTGGAAAAGAAAAGCCCTTCGTGGGAAAATTGTTCCAATTCAAATAATTACCTACACTCCAGTTAATGCACCAAAGAGAAATTCTCTGTTATTTTATGATTCTCCTACAAACCTAAAATTACTTCAAAATTAAAAATTTTTGTTCAAGACTTTAATAATGTTCAAGACTTTAATACTGTTCAAGACTTTTATACTGATACAAGGATACACAATCAAAAGTAGATTGTCCTCTCAGAGGTAATAACTATTGCTCAGAGGTAATAACTATTATCAATTTCTTATAGAGCTTGCCAGAAATTTTCTAATAATAAATTTTATTTATATATTCATGATTTTCTTTTTATAAAATATATGTCATTTTGTTAACATTCTTCACCTTGATTTTTTAAAAATAAATTTTAAAAAATTTAGAGCACTATTTTTATAGAAAAGTTGCAATGATAGTACATATAATACCCATATACCCCACATTCCGTCCTCCCTATTATTAACACTTTATTGAATATGGTACATTTGTCACAATTAATGAACAAACATTGATATATGATTATTAACTAAAACCCATTCTTTATTCAGGTTTCCTTAGTTTTACCAGATGTTGTGCTCTGGGATGACATCCAGGCTACCACCCTACGCACAGACTTCATGTCTCTGCTGGGCTGCACTTGGTCATGCCAGTTTCTCAGACTTTTCTTGTTTTTCATGACCTTGACAGTTTTGAGGAATACTGGCCAGATATTTTAAATAATATCTCATATTTGGGATTTATATAAGGTTTTGCTTATGATTGGACTGGGATTGTGGTTTGGGGAAAATGATTATAGGAGTGAAATGTCATTTTCATCGAATCTTATCAAGGTCACATTATATCAACATGTTTTAGCACTGGCTATGATCTAACTTTGATCACCTGGATGAAGTCATGATTGTCAAGTTCCTCTGTGTTATGGTTTGGATGTGAAGTATCCCCCAAAAGCTCACATGTGAGACAATGCAAGAAGATTCAGAGAAGAAACTTTGGGGTTATAAGAGCCTTAACCCAATCAGTAAATTAATCACCTGATGGGATTAATTGAGTGGTAACTGAAGGCAGATGGGATATGGCTGGAGGAGATAGGGCATTGAGGGTGTGGCTTGGGGACATATATTTGTATCTGGCAAGTGGAAATCTCTCTCTCTGCTTCCTGGTCACCATGTCAGCTGCTTCCCTCTGCCACACTCTTCCACCATGATGTTCATCCTCACCTTGATGTTCTGGTAGGGTCCTTTTAGTCACAGCAGCAAAAAAAAAAAGTTGACTAAAACACTCTAACATGAAATTATTCTCCCCTGCTCCTTCCCATATTTTACTCTTTGGAAAGAAATTAATTACCATGCTGAGCCCACACTCAAAGGGTGGGGAGTTATCCTCCAACTGCCTGTGAGTAGAGCAATCTACATAAATTATTTGGAATTCCCTCAGGAGATTTGTTGATTACATTTTTGTCTTTGTTCAATCATATATGTTCATCAATATGCATTCAAATGGTATTCATTTTATATTTTGGATTACAATCCAATCCTACTTAATTTGTTGGCAAAATTCAGCTTTAGCTACTGAGAGCTTTTCCATTTGCTTTCAGTCTCTCTTTTACATAATCTAATAATGAACTTTTTTTTCTGTTTTGTTGTTGTTGTTATTGTTTTTCTTTGTTTTTAGCATTTGCTTTCTGCACTATAAAAAGCTTCATGCTCATTTCATATATTTCCTACTCCAGTCCTAGAATTAGTCATTTTCCAAAGAGTACTAATTCCATTTTGGAAATTAATATTAGAAAGACAAGTCTTGATCCTAGATGTTCTTAATTTTTAGCATGAATATTAATATACATTAATAGTTATATAGCATTTCATTGTATATCATGAAAACTTCACAATTTTTAATTGTTCCCTATTGATGAAATTAAGGTATTTTCTACAATGTTTGGCAATTTAAATGGTGCTACAATTTAAAAACCAATTATAATTTTTAAAGCCTGAATTAAATAATTTAATACTATTTTATTTCTATCTTGTACTGTTCAATAGCTATTTAAAAGTCCAATAACCTCAAGTCACCTGAACAACTAAGAATCAAGAATTATTTCTTTTTTACATTTTCCTTGGCAATGCTCAGCAAAGGAACAAATAACTAAAAATAATAATTCCAATGGTAAAGTCTATGTATTTGAGAATGTTTTTATCTACAGTTATCTTTCTCCCCTACTGAAGCCAGAATTAGACAGTCAGTATAGTTAGGTAAATTGAGTCAGGTTGATCAAGGAAGCCAACTTTGAGTGAGTTGAGGAAGTTAGAGACTGTCCCCTGAAGAATTGAAATGTTAATTCCTTCAGAGCCTTTCCTCCACCATTATCAAGAACTTCCCTAGGGCTGGGGATGTGGCTCAAGTGGTAGCGCGCTCGCCTGGCATGGGTTCGGCCCAGGTTCGATCCTCAGCACCACATACAAACAAAGATGTTGTGTCTGCCAAAAACTGAAAAATAAATATTGAAATTCTCTCTCCCTCTCTCTTTAAAAAAAAAAAAAAAAAAGAACTTGCCTAACCTGTTCCAGGAATTGCTCCTCCCTACAGGGAGCCATAATGTTGTTAGTTAATGTGTCCTTGGCTTCTGTATCCTGCTCTTCCCCTTTAGCCCACTCGGTTTCCCACCTTTTGGCCATCTCACAGAGCATTCCTGGGCCTAGTCACGTTCACAGGAAGGAGGAAAATAAGAGGAAGAGGGCAGGAGAACAAAGGGGACCTAGGACATACAAAAAGGGCAGAACATCTCACTTCTTGGGATCCAAGAAACCTCCCTGAGAAGTCCACTCACCCCTTTTTAAATAAACCCTGCTTTAATAATGCTTGCCTCTGAGTGCTTCTCTAATATTCAGACTTCAACATGTGAGAAAGCAGGACTTGTCTCAGATAACCGGCTGTATCACAACTACATTTAATAAGAGCCCCTTGGTCGTAGGCTCTTGACCTGACTAAATATAAGCTTTATGAAGGCAGGGACAATATCTATTTGCTTCTTTGTAATGCCTAGAATTGGGCGTGTGGAGACTCTCTGCTGAAGTTAAGTTTCCCTCTTGGGAGAACATCACAGAATTCCTTACCCCTCCCCCTCCTCTCTGAAGGGCACCAAATTCGAAGGTTTTTTCAACCAATCCCCACAGGATACAGTGTCCTCTCACTGTTCCTGAGTCACCCTGCCAATCAGAACCTGCCATGTCCCCTACTCAACCCTTCTTAAGCAGAAGCTTGTAAGCAGATGCTCTCTGCCCTCTGCCGTCTTCCTCTTCTTTCTTTCCTCTTTCTCTTTCTCTCTGCCCTCCTCCTCTCCTCTCTCTGTTCTCTGCCTCTCCTTCCCCTTTAGGCAGCCCACCAATAAATCTCTTGGTTGAATCTCCATCTTGGGTGAGTCACTCGCCTTTCACAGAAGAACACTGATATCTAGAAGACACTCAATGAATGTTTATTGAGTGAATGAATAATTAGTATCTGTGTGATAGGTTTTATAAATACAAGTTATTTAATTTCATCATAATATCAACCCCATAAAATAAGTATTTTTATCTTTAACTAGGCAATATGGAAACTTGAAGCCCCAAGATTTAATCACCTTGCTGAGTACCAAAGCCAGAGTGTTCCAGAGTTGGGATTAAATTTAGGTTACTCTGACTTCAAACTGCTGCATTTTCTCTACACAAAACTACTTCCCTTTACCTAGAGTTTAGTTTGCCTTTCTTGAATTTTTCCTAGTTGGCTCTAAAATTCATCATGTTCTCAAAGGACAATAGATTAAAAAAAGGTCAGGTCCCCATGGGGAAGGGAAGGAAGAGGCGCTCTGGTGAGCCTGATAACACCTAGGGAAAATACAAATTCCAGCCATTCCACTAGCCTCAAAGACAAAAGAGGCACAGCAATAGTTTTCCTAAAGTCAGGACTGGGAGCAAGGCCAGCCCACAGTGTGCTCACTCACATCTGACACAGAAGGCCGCAGTGGACTGGCTGTGGCTACAGCCTTTAATGTTTCAGTGAGGACAAGAAGTAAGATTTGCTTGTTTCCTCCTCTGGATTTTCTAGAAGAAACAGTTATAGAGCTCTTAGATGAATGTCAGGCAAAGCCCATGAAGGAAGATGTCCCTATTGGATACAGGTAAGTCTCTTTATAAAAGGCCGAAACAAGCAGTGACCCATCTAGAGGTTCATTTGTTCAACAGGGCAAGGTTTGGGCAGGTTTGGGTGGGACACCTAATTCTATTCCTATGTCTACACTGGAAAGATCTCATCAGTTCCTTTCTTTCTTGGACCTCAGTTTCCCCTTTGTACGTCATAAGATAGGACCTGAGGCCACAAGAAAATTGATATTACCCAGGTTTTTTTTCCAGTTCTCTCATATCTTTTTCTGGGTCAGGAAGTGTCCAGGCCCTGCAGCCTCAATAGGACATACACTTCCTCCAGATCTCCATTTTCCACTGATTAACTTGGGGAAGATTTGCCTTGGTGGAACATTCATGAGGAAGAGGATATTAGGACATGCCACTTCTTTAGGGAAATTCTATGGGTATAGAAGTCTTAGAAGAATGGGCTCCTATTCCTGGGACAGTCAGAGAAATGATTAGCAATGAATGCTCCCAGGGAAGTTCTGGATGGCCTGGCAAGGAGGCTGTGGGCCAGCTGTGGAATAGTGGCTTCTGTAATATCTCCCACAACACAGACAGGGTGCAGCTCTTTTCCCCCAGTAGTTTCCAGGAGTCCAAAGAGAAACCTAGCCATCCCTTTTATCTCTGCTCCTCTCTCCTTCCCAAATCCTCTTCACTAGCACCATACACAACATCTGTCATGAAATGGGGCTTCTAGTGAAAGTAGAGTTCTGATAAAGGAAGGGCAGACACTGAGAAGATAAGAACTCTAGTGAGGAAAGAAAACTCCATTAAGAATGAACTTTGTCGAATTCATATATTTATTCATCTAATTAGTTGTCCCAAAACACATATAAATAGATTATTCTAGACAGACACTGGGCTACTTCACATAAAAGAGATAACAAAGACAATTAATATTCTAGTGCGGTCTACAGATGGAAGCAAATATTATAATACCTGAATAATTAAAATATCTTAAAGGATATAGGAAAATAGAGAAGAAGACTAATCTTATCTGGAAGCATCACATGATAGAGCTAAGTTTTGAGTCAGGTAGGGTGTGGGAAGGCAGAAGTGATGGCACATGGAAAGGCATAGAAACAGAACTGAATTGGTATGTTCAATAAAGAGTAAGAAACTCAACATTATGGTAGAGAAAGGAGATATGATATGGACTCAAAGTGACACTTGAGACATAACTTATGATCATTTGAAACCCAATTTTCAAAACTATTGAAAATTTTCTTAACTGTGAAGTTCCATATTGACTCTAAATTTCAGTTTATTCATTTTTAATACGGGGAGGGTATTATGTATGTATGTATATATATATATACAATGGCACTTAAATCATAGAATTGCAAGAAGGAAATGAGGCAATAAATGTAAAGCACAAAGCATAAATCTATTACATAGTAAATCCTACCAGCCTTATTTGATATGATCATCATTTTCATGTGAATGTTTTTATTGCTAACATATAACAAATACAGCTTATTCTAGACAATGGAGAAATCCAGAAAAAAAATAAGAAAATAAATCCCCTCTTTTTACCATTTGAATTAAATCACTTTTAATTTTTGCATATATCCTTTCAGTCTTTCTATATAGCATCTATTTTAAAAATTGAAAATGTATCACAGTGAGCAGTGTTATGTTTTGTTTTTCATTAAGTATTATATGGCAGTTACTATGCAACAACATTAAATATTTATCAAAGATTAATGATGTGGGAGCATTTTGTTGAATACTTGCTTCATAATTGAACCATGCATTGATCTGTATTGATTATTATTTTCACTTTATCACTGTAATAGTCAGCATGGAAACTTACCCAAAAAATCATTGCCTGTACCTCCTTTATTCGAAGGGGTTCTTTCAGAAAATGTAGGAATTTTACAATTTTAATTTTAATTTTATCTTCATATGTTGTGAGAAACTGATTTTCAAAGAAGTTATACTCATTTACACAGCCTTAAGCAAAATAAGATATTGTCTACTACACCATCCCTTATGTGCAGTGAATATTATCTTTTTAAATATTTCAAATTTGATAAAGATATTTAATCTCTATGTTTAATTAATTTTATTGTTATCAGTAGCAAAATAATTTTCACATGCTTACTAGCTATTAGATTTCTTTGGGAATTAAATTGTTATATCCTCTGGCTGTTTTTCTTTTGGGCAGATTATATCTATTTAAAAATGATATCAATGGCTTATATATGAAGTAGAAAAATCACATTTTATTATTTGTTTCCACAACTACAAATGTTTTCTGAAATTTGTCATTTATTTTTCCCTTTTGTTTGTAGGTTATTTTGTGTTTTCAGCATTTTATTTTTAAAAATATACAAGTATTTTTCTCCTAAATAAAAACCAATGTATTTCCACTGTGCATAATGCAAATAATATAAAATACAAAGAAAAAAAATAAAACACTTGTAATTGCACCACTAAGATGTTAACAAAGGAATAAAACTATAGGCTGTGCGTCTGTGTGTGTATAAAACATGTATGTATGTATACATATACATATATATAAAATATATGTACACATATATGTGTATATAGATATATAAAAATTTTACAACAAATATTTACATTAGCCATACTATTTTGTAGCATATTTTATCAATTTAGCCAAACATACAAGATCTTTTCTCATAGCATTTAATATTCTTCCACAGCATACTTTTACATTAATGTACAGTGCTAGATGTGGTGGTGCATGCCTGTAATCTCAGCAATTTGGGAGTCTGAGGCAGGATGATCATAAGTTCAAGGCCAGCCTGAGAACTTAGGGAGGCTCTAAGCAACTTAGAAAAACACTGTCTCAAAATTAAAAACAAAAAAAAGGTTTGGGGATGTGACTCATGGGTTAAGCACCCCTGGGTTCATTCCCGGGTACTGAAAAGAAAAAAAAAATTTGTATGTTATTTCATGGTACAGATATAACACAATTTATTTAACCAATCTGCTACATGTTTATGTTGTCCTTTATTATATATTCACTTCAATTACTTTCTTACGAATAAACAGAGAGGAGCATTCTGGTAGCTAAAATTTGCACATAATCTTAATCTAAAATTATAGATGTGAGGATTGCTAGTTCAAAGAGTCTCTGGCAATATACTGTGAAATCCACCTATTATTTGGAACTACAGTGTTTAAATAGTTATGTTCTTTCACTTTAACTCAAAATATGTATAATCATGTCTTTAAATTTAGAGGAAAAAATAACCTCCTTTTTAAAAATTATGGTTGCTTTCTGACAATTTTAAATTTTTAAAAATACTTTTTAGCCATTTGATTTCGACTTATGAACTGAATGATTGTAACTTTACTTAATTTTCTCTTGGGTAATTTATAAGAATCTTTTGATATTAACTTGCAGGTATTATCTCCATTTGTAGTTTACACTTTAATTTCTATTTTAGGTTTTAATTCTCAAATTTATTTAACTTTTATATAATCAAATCAATTAATCTTTTTTTTATGGATTCTGCTTTAGAGTAAAAGCTGAGAAAGAACTTTGCAATGCTGAAGCTAACATTAGAAAGTAATTTTAAATATTTAAATAAAATAAATTTTCTTCAAATTCAACTATACATTCACTTATATTAAAATCATTATTCATATTGAATACATTTTGGCATATTAAGATAATATTGGAATATTTATTTTCCTCTCACGTTGCCCTTTAGCTGCTTCTTGAATTCCTTTTATATATACCCTGCTTTTGGGCATCACTGTATATAAATTGTCTCCCTAAAGCACAAGAAAAAAGCATAGACATAAAATTTTTTGATAATATGAGGAAGATAATTAAATACCATGAAGTTATATTATAAAATGGCTTAACATCTTTGTATGCATGTACTTCTTCTATACTTTCCTTAGTGATTTTGGAAAAATACTAAAATACTTATCAATTTTTAGTAATATTTAATAAACACAAAATGAAACTCAATTGCATATTGTGTTCAATCCAAGACATTCTTCTAACATGAATTCGTACTACATTCCATAAGAACATGTCAGTTTTGGACATGCTTATTCTATTTTGTGAGATACCAATACAGCAAAACTATTTTTCTAACTAGTTTTTTTTTTCATGAATATAGGAAAACTACTTGTTTAATACACCTCTTCTGTAACTGGACAATGCATTGAACTTCTTAATATTACTAGCTTTTCATCTTTTTGAAATGAAAAAAATTATTTTTCCTTCCCAATATTTCTGCTTTATCTAGTTTCCTTGTCTTATTGTGTTTCCCCAATTTCCCAGAGTATTTTGTAACTCTAAACTCCAGTGTGGGTTTAACCAGGGGCTTAAAAAGATCTGAATTTCCACCCCAAAGTGAAGTATTTTTATGTAGTGATTCAATATAGGTATGGATGTGTAGATAGATATAAAGATACATAAAACTTTCAAAGGAGAGAATTTCCATAGTTTTTGTCAGCTTCTCCAAAGATTACATGAGCCACCCAAACATAAGAACTTCTATTCTAATGTTTTACTTATAAGTATAATGTTGGCTATTATTTCTATAGAGATATTCAGGTTGTCTTAAGGAAATTGTCTTAACTGGTTGACTGTAAATTTATTTGACATATTTTTTAAATCAGATAAATGTTGTGTTACATATTTTCCTATGTAACACAACATTTACCTACTGAGGATAACTTTTTTAATTGAATTTTTGGTGGGATAAATTTTGGTGGGATAAATTCCACTTGAGGATTACTGAATTTTGAACTACATTTTTATCCTTGAAACAAATTCTACCTTAGCATAATGTGTTATTAAAATATAGATTGGATTGAGATAAGTAAATGAATTTTTTTCAAAATTTTACATCTATATTAATTAGGAAGATTGACCCAAGGAGATTTTTACATGTGTTTTTCAAATTTTGAATTAAAGTATTTGTTATTATCATAATTACAAAATAAACATTGGTCTCTTCATTTAGAAGAAGTTTAAATAACCCTAGGACTATCTGTTTATTGAAAATTGAATATAACTCTCTCAGCTCAGGACAGACTCAGGGTGCAGCTCTTTTCCCCCCAGGTTGGATCTTTTATTTTACCACAAAAATATTCCCTTTGTATTTTTATAATTTATTAATGTGAATATGATCCTTAAAGAACTGCAAAAGTTTTCTAGAGTGGTTGTAACCATATACACTTCTAACTGCAATGTATGAATGATCCAGTTGCTCATATCTTCCCAGCACTTAATGCTGTTACTATTTTGTTTTACCCATTCGAATATATGTATAGTGATATATCATTGTGATATTGATGTGTATATATGCATTTCATTAAAGGGGAATGATGGTGAACCTTTTTCTTTTCTTTCTTTTTTTGGGGTGGGGGTGGGGGTGGGGGCTCACTTGTGAATTATAGGGACTTTTTTTTTTTAATCTTCTTTGGGATATTTAAATCATTTTTCCAGTCTGGTTACTAAGCAGAATTTTTCACTATTTCCAAAATTAAAAGAAAATTCCACTAACATAAAGTCATGTGTTCTAGGAATATTTTATAATTTATTGTTTTTTACTTAGGGATTTTCTCAGTTCAACAAGTCAGGTCTTCCCTTAGCTCAGAGATGTTTTTTCTTCCCCTGTTACTTCTTCAAATGTTTTCTTGCCCTTTTCTTTGTTCTATTATTTAGGTTTGCCTATTAGGTAGATTTTTCATTTCCTTTATTTTACTTCATAATTTCTCATAATTTTAATCTTTTCATAATTTGCTATAATTTCTCAAACTTGCACCTTAATCTGCTAATTCAGTTTTTTTTAAGTCTTTATCACTGTGACCCACAGCCTTTTAATTCTGTAATCATGATTTTCCCCTTTGGTGCTCTTTTTTGAGCTTAAGATTAATTTTCAGGGCTACTCATTCAGTATTTAACATTTTATGAGATTTATTAAAAGTAAGTAATAGAGACAATTTGATGCCTATCTAGTTTCTTCCAGACTCTTTCGGGAAGGATAACAACCGCTATGATGTCTTGGATTTATCTCATTAATGTGAAATGTTGTGCCTTCATATCCCACATGACTTCTGTTTACTTAATCTGAAAGACAGAACTAGCTTGTCTTTCAGCATTATAAGAGAGTTTCTAGTTGAGAGTCTCTGCTGCATCAATGATCCTTTTATTATCTTTTAAATCATATTTAGTATTTCTAAAAAAATATTTAGTGTTTCTGACGATGGGAAACAAACTGTAGACATCATGTCTTTCAAAGAAATATTAGATTCAAATGGTTTAGAATTTTGAATATAACCTTGAAATACAAATTAGTCATTGAATAATATTTAGCCTCTCTTTGTTAAGATTATGTGCTGCTTGAAAATAAATTATTATTGAAAACTAATAGCAATGATGCACATTTCACCTGCTGTCCTTGACTCCAGGCATACAACTTTTTATCCCTCCTTACTTCCATACTCTACCACATAATTTCACAGCAATGCCAGAGTGATCTTTCTTCATGGTATATTTGAAAATATGATTCCACTGTTTTGAATATCTGGGCTAATTTTGTTCTCTAGAGAATAAAGTCCAAATTCTTTAGCATGGAATAAAAGCATATTGATGTAAAATATCCAAAACACTGACCAGATCCTTATTTGTTTTTCACTTTGTGTCACTTCTGTTTTCTACTGTTTCTAATAATGTTTTTATTTATTAAACTTTGAGTGTTTCTTATGATAGTTCCCTCACCCTAATTCCTTTTTCATTTATCCCAGACTGTGAACCCATTTCATTTGCCAACTTTATCCCACTATTTCTCTATTAGACTTTTTAAATTTTAGATTACCAAGATAATAAGAGGAGATTCTTGATACTCAACTTAAAATTTGAATCTTAATGTTAATGATGTTGGTCCTCTTGATTTTCTTTCCCTCTGTCTTCACTGTGATTTTTCAGAAAATTCCATTTATTTCCCTAGATCTCAAGCATTTAGTCCTCAGATCAAGGTATAAGAATCCAACAAAGCAAAACAGAATTTAGTAGAAATCAAAAGATATTTGGAATTCAAAATTTGGATGTGGGTTGGATTCAAGATCTGCCATCTAATTGCTGTTTCTTAACTTCTCTGAGATAATGTTTTCATGTAAAGAATAGAGTAATAACAAGAAAAAGATATACATGTAATCTGTTGTCAATACATGTTAGCCTTTAACTTACCTCTCAAATTCTACCCGGGCAAGAAAGATTTATTAAGACTAGAAAAATAATTACTTGCCTTACTTTCCATTGTAATTACATTTCTAGAGATTTTATAATTTCACATTTATATGTTCTTCAGTGAGATCATGAACATTGGATAGGTTTCTCAAAAGTTTAGAAGTTTTAAGGAACACCATTGTCTCCTAAAATGTATTCCTTGGTGTCTCCTTCAGAGATTCATGAGTCTGACATCGCTTGACCTTTCTAAATATGTTAATGTACAAAGAGGAACATATCAATTCTTTCAGAAACTGATATAGGTCCTTCTTAAGCTTAGTGTCTTTATTCTTAGCAATTACCCTTCCTCTTCCAGCAGAACCTGATCTTCCTTTTCCTGAAACTAAGGGGGAATTTGAGAAACAAATGCAGAATCTCCCAATCAACAATTTCTCTTCGTGACCACACTGGGAATTTATGCCTACATCCATGATGGCAGAAAACTGGACAAGAGTAAGTGAGTTTATCCTCCTGAGCTTCTCTTCCCTACCTACCGAAATACAGTCACTGCTCTTCCTGACATTTCTAACCATCTACTTGGTCACTCTCATGGGAAACAGCCTCATCATTCTGGTGACCTTGGCTGACCCCATGCTGCACAGTCCCATGTACTTTTTCCTCAGAAACTTGTCCTTCTTGGAGATTGGCTTCAACCTAGTCATTGTGCCCAAAATGCTGGGGACCCTCATTGCCCAGGACACAACCATCTCCTTCACTGGCTGTGCCGCTCAGATGTATTTCTTCTTCTTCTTTGGGGTGGCTGAATGCTTCCTCCTGGCCACCATGGCATATGATCGCTATGTAGCCATCTGCAGTCCCTTGCACTACCCAATCCTCATGAACCAAAGGACACGTGCCAAACTGGCTGCTGCCTCCTGGTTTCCAGGCTTTCCTGTGGCTACCGTCCAGACCACGTGGCTCTTCAGCTTTCCATTCTGTGCCACCAACAAGGTGAACCACTTCTTCTGTGACAGCCCACCTGTGCTGAGGCTGGTCTGTGCAGACACAGCACAGTTTGAGATCTATGCCATTGTGGGGACCATCCTGGTCGTCATGATTCCCTGCTTGCTGATCTTATGTTCCTACACTCGCATTGCTGCTGCCATCCTCAAGATTCCATCAGCTAAAGGGAAGCACAAAGCCTTCTCTACCTGCTCCTCCCACCTCCTTGTTGTCTCCCTTTTCTATGTATCTTCAAGCCTCACCTACTTCCGGCCCAAATCAAATAATTCTCCTGAGAGCAAGAAATTGTTATCATTGTCCTACACTGTTGTGACTCCCATGTTGAACCCCATCATCTACAGCCTGAGAAATAATGAGGTGAAAAATGCCCTGACCAGGACCTTCCACAAGGCCCTAGCTCTCAGAAGCCACATCTTATAGACATTATGATATAAGAGTAAAGTTCATTAAATGGACCACAATCAGTCTCACATTTGAGTTTCCTTTCTGCCACTTTTTACATGTCCATTGGAATGAAATTCAATTCCTGAAATGGCTTTTGGATAGCTCAGTAAAGAGGAAGGAATACAGAAGTATTTTAGATGTCTTATTGCCACCCGCAAAAGCTTCTCTGCCTACCCATTATCAACTGTTTTTTTTTTTTCTTATTGGTGGTGTTGGTCTTTCAACACTTGTGTGGCCAAGTATTTTCAGATATTCATATTCCTGTGTAACATACATTTTGGATAGTATGAAACTGCTAGTAACTTTAAAACATGGATTCATACATAGAAAAAGAAGAAAAACCTTATCACAAATCATCTTGCCATTTTTTTCCTTTAGCCAAATCTGACCATCTATTTATCAGATGGAAAGTCCTGTGATCCCTCCCAGTACAAAATTTTTCTCACTATTTTACTTCAGTTCTCATGCCCTTGAAGTTGTTTTAGTTAGTTCTTTTCAGCTTATTGCTATACAAAATGGGTAGAAAAAGTGGATCCATAACCCTCATGTATATGTCTTTATAACCTCGATAATCATTTCTTTCCTCACTACACTTTTCCCAGGAAGAATGAACTGAGCTCCATAAGTTGTCTATCCCATATTTAGGTTCTTATACTTTGTTAAAGTAATATCACTAATTTTAGTCATGGTGCTGCTTTCACTGAAGCTAAAATAGATCCTAACTCCAGCATAAGTATTCTTTAACCACAAAAATAGTTCTCACTCTTTTTCAACCTCCTAGTACTCTATTTTGTAGACATGCCATAATTTACTTAACCAATTATCTACTGTTAAAGACCATGCTACAAAGAATAGCTTTATCCTTATGTATTTTTATAGTTCTGTTTTACATGTGACAGATGTAAATCTAAAAATTAGAAATCTTGAGCAAAAGGTAAATACACTTATGATATTATATATTGGCAAGTTTTCTCCCAAAGTGATTGCACAATTTTAAATTTCCATTAGCAATTTATAAGTATGCTTGTTTTCTGGTAGTTTTGTTTTCATCAATAGCATTTATCATAAAACACCTGGAATTTTCCTTATTTAACATATAAAAAAATTCAACGAAATTTTAATTTGAATGAAACAAATTTTGAAGAATAAGAAAAATATAGGTAAGTAAATCAGAGAAAAGTTATGACTTTCGTTCAAATTTCTAAATTCATAGTTAAGATAATTACCATTGGTGATATTTTGGCATTTTATTTTTGCTTCTTGAAAGATTTTGTTTCACCTTTACTTTAGCCAAATTCATCCCATCTTTCAATGTTCCACTGTGATTCCTCTGACAGCACTGCCTCAACCTGCATAGCAACAATAAAGGCCAACTGGGACACTGCCCTCTGATGGAGAAACAGTAACCCAGAACTAGCTCCACAAGTATATTTTATAAGATCTCATAATCAGAAATTTTAACTATAGAGGCTTTGTAAATTGTTCAAGGCTTGTGAGTTTTCAAGAGGCTTTTTTTTGTATACTAAAAATTTACAGAGCTAGAAACATTTCTGTAAATATCCTGCTGTTAAAGTGTCAGGAACATCCTGCAATTACCCTGCTGAACCCAGAAAACCCACTGGAATGGAACATCTGGTAACTATTAGCAGCAAAGCCAAGTATCAAGGCTGTTCACGTCCTTACCTTTTGGCAAGGAATGTTTCCCAGGCTTAGCTTTTGCCTATACCACAGGATCAGCCAACAACCAGGGCTCATTTACTCTACACATCTACCCCTTTTTAATTTTTTTAACTACAACTAATGCATGTCTATTTGGAGGTGTTGAACTGGGATCTGATGAGCTTGCAGCTGACTGCAAAAAACAATACAAAATTAAAGAAAACAAACCCTATGAGATACCAGGTAGTATATTTTAGCATATTCCAAGGATTGAAACCAGTTAGGTCATCTAACAGGTTTTCTGCAAAACTGGCAGGAGATAACATGGGAATCTGACTTTCCTGCATGGCTGGATGTAATGATGCAGTTGCAAGAGATGTAAACTAACATTGTTATGATTCCAACTTTCTAATAGATGCATTTTAATCTTTTTCCAATTCCATTGGGAACTATCATATGGAACAGGTGTTACACAAATAAATTGATAAGCAACATGGCATCATAATTTTTGTCTGAACTTAAGACTTTATATCTGATCACCTAGGCTCATTACTGTATCTTTAAAGCATTTAACTTAGCTTTAGGTTTATTATCAATAACCTCCTGAATTTGAAAGGCCAGAGTATTGACGAAATAGGCTGTTTGGATGCCTCTCACAAGAGCAATGGAGTCAGTGATTGCAGAAGTAATTACAGTACTTAGGATAACAATACCAAAGACTACAAGTCCTCTGGCACAGCATGATCAAGTCAACTGATTATGAAGTTCCTGAAGAACTTGCAGCCCTTTATCTTGATACAAGTCATGTGTAATACTAGTGGGAAGCATAAAAAAGGAAGGCTATTATAAAACCAAATATCTTGATCTTTGTTATGTCTAGTCATGCAATTAGAGAGTACAATTAGTACCTGTACAAAACATCATTCACTGTCCATTTTTATGATATTAGTATTTTATATTAATAATACATAAGGAGACCGAACACATGCTCACGGGCTAGTGGTACAACCACTGGTTACATCTGTTAGTGATGGACTAGTAAAGTTAACAAAATCCAAAGCAGCAGCTAGAAGCCATAAATCCTTCTGAATATTTTCTGAACCTGTGGTCAAGATTTTACTAACAAATCCCCCAGGAGTAATGAATTCATTATGAGGATGCACTGAATCTATGGGACCAATCCAGGACATATGACTCACACTGGGAAATGTTATGTCTTACAAGAACTAAGTTAGCACAATCTAGCCATTTGGGGAAAAGTCCCTGATTCTAAGGAAGTGGAACTAGGGCAATAAGGAAGCAAAGGGTATTTGACAGAGTTCTTATCACTAGAATTAAGAAACCCTATTTTAATAATGGTTTGTATATATTTTTGAAAATCTCAAGAACCAGAAATTGTGGCAACATGAATGCCACCATAGGATGTTTTATATTCCTGGGACACTTGTAAGTACTCAGTTTTTTGACAAATAGGGGCCTCAGCACTACACCCAGAATAAGTATAATTAAATTAATGAGAGAATAATATGATAAATTGGCCCACCACCATGGCAGAGAGATTTGTGAACACTGGAATAGATCCTCCTGCCCAGAAAGCAGAATAACTACAGGAGGGTTGGGAAAATATGTTCAGAAAATTTCTCCTATCTTCTCCTATCATCATATGTACCTGGAAACTTACAATGGCCAGCATTGCTATAAACATGGTAGCCTGTGTCACAGAGGCTCCTTAACTCTCAACAACATTCATTCACTGGTTTCTTGATATCACCCCAAGTCAGAGGATTTGTACTTAGTGTGCCTTCCATTGGTTGTTTGTTCAAAAAATTTAAAGTAAAAAGAGCATAATGTAATTGATTCTGTGGAAATGGATAATACCTCTCTCCCCATTTTTGTTTTTGAAGTTGAATCTTTAATATTTTATTGGCACACTCTACTATTGTTTGTCCTTAGCATTGTTTGATTTTTTTGTCTTATGAATAATATAATAGGAAGCACAAAAGTGTTGAAAAAAGGAGCTGGCATAAGACAGACCATTATCAGTTTTGAGTTCTTGGAATTTGCCCACGACTGCAAAAGCAGCCAGGCAATGATTAATTACATGTTTAGAACTTTCTCTTGTTTGTACTGTAGCAAAAACAAAACAAAAAAACACGAGACTATGTGTCAATAGACACAGGTACCCACCGTTATCTTTCAAACTCCTGTCAATGTGTAACATCCATCTGGCAAATGTGATTTGGTTTAATGCCTCAATGATTTATGGCTGTTAATAAGATCGGGAAGTGAATAACACATTGGGAGAATTATTTGACTATGGTCTGGGCCTGTTCCCTAGTAAGATAAAATTCTTTGCATAAACTGGAAACATGTTAATGATGTAGGTCATGTGATACTTGGGCTAGGGAATAAGGTGATACACATTGTACTGATATAACATTGTTTCCTTATACTAAGATCCTGTAACACCTGAATGAGCATTGAATGTGCCCAATAAAACATGGATAATATCATTGTTGGATAGTGCTTTATAAAGATTTAAAAAGCTAAACTGATATCTCAGCATCAGTATATCCAGTTGATACCAATGACGAGAATAAGGACCAAGTCCCATTCCCTCGGTGTTGAAGATTGAACACTCCAGAAATGCCAAGGCAAACATACAAAGCAAGTTTTATTTAAAGGATAGAACAGAGATAGACTTCTCCAAAAAGAAGGGGCCCCAGATATGGGTGTCCAAGGAAGTGGGGATGTCCTACCCCTTTTATACATTTTAAATTCTTTTTGTTCTCATACTCTCTCCTCCCATCCTGTCTTAATGACCCAAAAGGTGGAATGATCCAAGGATGGGAACAAAGCCACCCAGGAGTACAGGCAGGAAGAGAGCCACACAGGGACTACTCATTAGCTCCTTCTGAGGAGAGATTATTCTCTGGAAGCAGGTAAACTTAGCAACAGGTGGAGGAAGGAAAGGTATTCACATTCCATTCCCTTTGAATCAGCTTCAAACTTTCTAACTCAGCATAATCATTTATTATTTACCCAAAATGTCATTTGCCCCCCCAGCCTAAACCTCCCTCTGAGAAGGAAACCCTTACTGCCATAAGGGAAAATGGACGATGACCGCTCTGGCTGCTTCAAGCTGAGAGGGGGAGATGTGGGGCAAGCAGTTTGGGTTCCCATTTAAGAAGGTTTTGGGTCAGTCAAGGGGTTTATGACAAAAGTCTGGTTTGGAAGCAACAAGTTGTAAAGTCATCATGGAGGTGGGTGCTTCTATGAGAGAAACAAGAAGATATGAGTACAGGAATGAGATTAAT